TTTTGCTGTTTTAGTGCTCTGGCGCCGGAGATGTACGCGTGGCTCGCCGGAGGTGACGTGTCCGCCAGGTGTCGCTGACCTGGCGGACACGTGGATTTTTATTTTTATTTTTAGTTTTTTTTAAAACTTATTTTTAATTTATTTTAAATTTTATTTTGTATTTTTTTATTTGTTATAATTAAAAAAATTTTAAAAAATTAAAAAAAAATAAATAAATAAATAAATCCACGTGTCCGCCAGGTGTCGCTGACCTGGCGGGACACGTCACCTCCGGCGAGCCACGCGGGCGTCTCCGGCGCAGGAGAACTAAAACAGCGAAAATTTTTCACTTATGAGATTAGTTTACTACAGATTCGACGGGACTAAAAAAAACAGTTTACCCTAATATATTTTATAAAAAATTATGCAAAATAAATAGTATTAATTTAAATTTTAATCTAATATCAAACCAACTCATCTCCTTAATAATAATAATAATAATAATAAACGCCAATATGATTTTGGATGATTCGTTTCTTAGTAAATATATTTTAATATAATATATAATATATATTTTAAATTCACCAATATAAGTAACATTTCAACCCAAAATTTTAAATTTTTTTTATAATACCACAACAATTTTCTATACCTAATACAAAAAAGTATAAATTCATCCAAAAATATAAAATGAACACACCTTACATTATTAAAATCTAATTACAATTTATTGTATATTTAAATTTTATTTTTAATTAAGTATTTTTATCCATTATCCAAACATCATTACTATTTTAAATTTTACTTCCTCCGTCCCACGTATCGTGTCTGCTACACCGTAGACAAGGTATTTTAGGAGTGGTGTAATTAATAGATAATTAAGAATGTATTAGTGAAAATAATTACCCTATAATATAAATAATTATAAATTAAGATTAAGATAACTAATTAGTTTAATTAAAATAAAAAAAAATAAATTAAAAAGTTTAAAATGAGATTAAAGTGTGTAATCATTTTCCAAAAAAGAAAAGTGACATGGAATATGGGATAGACAGAAACAGCAACGTGAACATGGTATGTGGGACGAAGGGAATATTTTTTATTAAGTATTTTTATCCATTATCCAAACATCATTAGTATTTTAAAGTTTTCATGTCCAAATAATTTCTAAAATTAAGAATAAAACTCAAAATTCATTTAAACAATATCCCTTTTGTTTTTGTTCAACCATCATGATTGTTTTGGTTGGCATAAACAAGAGTGATGGGAAAACCTGTCGATTCTATCGGAAAAGTATTCCCAATAGTGGTATCAAAGTATCTCAAGTTGAACACGGATTGTATCAGTTGAATCAAAATTTTAATTGATTGTCCCGAGTTTTGGTAACAAAAGACTACCTCTAATTTTTTATTTGTTAATCAGTTATAGATTAAGTTGTGATTGATTTGTGATTTAAATCTTAATTTTCAATTATTATTATTATTTTATTTGTGTAACACTACTAACACATAACTGGTTGCTTCAATAATGAGTAAATAGTTGCCCCGTAAGGGATGACCTAGTAGTGTGGGGGTGGACTTATGACCGTGAGGTCATGGATTCAAACCCCCGACGCCTCCAGGTCAGTTGTCACACATAGTTCGTCTAGTGTGACTTGTTTGTCGGGCCTAGTTTGCAGGATATTAGGTTCAGTTGGGGGTTTACTCAGTGCGCACTTTCGACAGCAGCGCCAAACAGAGTACGGGTGTCTTTGATAAGTAAGAAAGTTGATGAGTTGAAAACTTACAAAAGTGCAACCGGCGCCAAACAGAGTACGGAGTCGACGGCGACGGCGGCGGCAATGTCAACGGGAGCCTCTGTGTCGGGCGGCAAGCACGTGAGGCGTCAGACATAAAGGCTCGTAAGATATGGAGTGTAGAGAAATCGCAATTACAAAGGTTTCTCACATTTGGCCTAGTAGATTTGATAAGTAAAAAAAAGGAATAAAGGCAAAACGGTCTGTCAAGAGTAAAATTTAACGCAGTCACTGCTATTTGGAATTGAGGGATGAGCGTGCAACATTTTAGAAACCATATTAAGTTTTTTTTTTAAAAAAAAATTTAGAAGCAGAGGAATTTTCAGCGAATTCGTAAAATACATAGGAGTTTTAAGCTATTTTGCCTAAATAGAAAATAAAATTACATTGTAAAAATTAGTGCTTACAATGTAGGTCACACGAAAAAAAAATTGATAGAAAAAATTAAACAAGGGTATTATATGATTTTTAAGTGAATAGAGATAGATTTTTAATTTTTTTTTTAGTAAAAGTAGAGAGTTAATATGAAGTAAATAAGAAATTAAATATCAAATTAGGGAGTTACATGGAAATTGTCTTATGTTAAAACTGTCTTAAATATTTCACCAAATTAATATTTCCTCTGTCTTAGATATCGTGTTCTCTTTATTGTAGACATGTGAATTTAGGAAAAGTATAATTAGTAAATAATTAAAAATGTATTAGTGAAAATAATTATTATTTAATAAAAATAATTTTAAATTAAGATTAACATAACTAATTAGTATAATTAAAATTAAATTAAAAATTTTAAAATAAGATTAAAGTGTATAATACTTCTTTAAAAAAGGAAAGTACAGAATAAGTGATATAGACGAAAATTGAAAGGTGAACGCGGTAATTTAATATAGTAATTTGTTCAACTCCATAGTATCATCTTCAAAAAAAAAAAAAAAAAAAAATACAATAATATCAAAATACACTTAATTTTTTATCAAATTACAAATATATCATTACACATACAATTACTTTATACGTAATATTAAAGACACAATGTTAAAAACTTTTACACATTTTTACTAACAAATAAAATATCTTATCATATATCATATCATATTATATCATATATCATATATATATTTGACAAGGGGTTTTAATTCCCGCGTTCTCATGATTTTGGAGTTTTATTATATTTTTTTAAATATTAATTTTGAATAATTAATTAAAATTTGTTATAATAACAAATAATCTAATAAAATTAGGATTTATTTGGATAACAAATAAAAAAATATGAATTAGTGTTTTATTATCTATATATATATATATATATACTTGATTTTTAATTTTCTAAATTGTTTGATTTAAAACTTTTGATTTTGTTTTTAAAAATTGCTTGTCTTTTTATTTACAATAACATATTTTCTTCAATTCTTTAATCGAAAACACAGAAGATATGATTCTCATTTTGTGATTCATTGTTCTAGCAATCAAACGGTGAGTTTTGTGATCGGATGTTCGTAGTTCCCCCAAAATTTTATATAATGTGATAGATTTCTTTTTGTTTTTTTTTATCTTGATTTTTTTAAAATTTGTGATTTTCGTTGGTTGATTTGATGATTGAGATGTGCTTACACGCATTCTTGAACAACTTTTATATAGAATTTGATAATAGTAGATTTTTTTATTTGGTCTAGCTGACCTGTAGTTTTTTTTCTTTAATATTTTTTTCATATTTTATTTGTTAATATAATTTATTATCATTCATTGTGTTTTTGCAAGTGATTGCATTTTTTTTATTAATATATATAGTGAATTCTTATAATAAAATTCTTTATTTAATTTTTAAAATTTTAAATTTGATTATTCATAAATTAACTATCGTATTATATTAATTATTTATTATTTTTAATTTTTACTAATTAATTCTAATATTCATATCATAATGCAACAAAAAAATAATAAAAAAAAAGATCACAAAGAAGCAAAAAAGAATAACATGTATGTATTATTTTAATTATTATTTTTTTACTAAATCATTTTTTTTTTCATTCTTATTATATATATTTTTTCAAATTGATTTTATTTTTAATAGTATAATATTTTAATAGATTTTCAATTTGGTAGATTAAGTTAAATTTTGAATATTTTGATTTAAAAGAATTTTGAGAAATTTATACATATGATAAGTTTTAACATGTAAATTTTTTTGTATTTATTGTAATTGTTCCATTTTTATTATGTATGAATTTTTTTTTAGTTATCTATGATGATATTCTTACTTTCTATAAATTATTTTTTTTTTAAAATTTTATTGTGTATGTTATTTTTTAAATTGATTTAATTCTAGTAATATGTTATATTAATATAAATTATAAATATTAAATCGATATATAATTTAATATAAAACTAATCCATACATACGGATTACAAGCTAGTTTTATATACGACAAAAATCAAAATAGTCCATTTGAAATAAAATATTACCTCCGTCTCGTAAAAAGAGTAACATTTGCTTTTTGCACGTAGATTTTTGAATATTAGTACTCTCTCCGTCTCATAACAAAGTATCCATTTTTTTTCATTTTAGTCCGTCGCATAACAAAATATCCATATTTTTTTATAACTGTACTACTATCTAACTAACGTTACAAATACCCTTACAACTTATAATATATTACACAAATATCATTATCTTTATATTATACATACTAATAAGGTTATTTTATTCATTTATACTTTATTTCTACTATATCTCAATATAATACTAATATTTTTAAAACTACGTGTAAAAAGCAAATGAATATTTACTTTTGAGACGGAGGGAGTATTATATTGATTTATAATAAAAAAGACAAAATAAACCTATTAAATTATGCGATAAAAAACTAATGATATTTGTGTTAAATATATAGTATAATTACTAAATTAAAAAATAATATTTTTTTAGACAAATAAAAAAAAATAATATCTCCTTATAGAATAGAGGAAGTAGTATTATTTTTAGTTTATTATAAAAATTAGACGTAGAAAAAACTGGTCAAAGCCTATAAGAAATCCAGAACAGGTGGGGCCCGCCAGGTGCACTGCTCCTCGTAGTACTGTATAAAAGCCTGGATACGTATAAAATACATTTTTATTTAAAATAAAAATAAAAAATAAATCTACAGTTTGGGCAGTGAAAGTCTGTGTGCGTCAGTCACTCTCAGTGGGAAAGAAGTTCAGAAACAGACCCTCAAATACACAATTCACACACACTCTCTCTCAATCAATCGTATATATGTATGTATTTATATGTATGTATTTATGTACAATTCTATACATACACACGCAAACTTTATGCCTTAAAACTGTAGAGATATATATATGTGCAGAGTGAGAGAGAGAGTTAGAGAGAGAGAGAGAAGAGGAGTGAGTGAGGGAGAGGAAGCGAATGATGAAAAGTAGGGAATAAAGGGTAAAAGGAAGGTACGGGTGGGCTGCACGCTCTTTGAATGTGATCCGTCTTTTTTTTTTTTTTTTCGTTTGTGTGTTTATATAATCCAAATCTCCGACTTTGTTGTTCATACCCTTTTGAATTTGTGCCGTGGTGGTGTTTTACGGGAGTGGTGTGATTTATTTTATTTATTTGTTATTGTTATTTTTTTATTATTATTAATTTTCTTTTGTGGGTGATTGGGGTTGAGGCCGCGGCGGGCGGGCAAATGCTTGTGATCTGCTTTGGATTTGCGGAGGATTTGATTCCTGTTAGTTGCTGTTTATCTTCTTTGTTTTTTTTTTTTTTTTTTTTGGTTCTTTGCGTTTGTGCTTGACTGGTTTGGTTTGAGTTTGGATTGGTCTGAGGTTTGTGTGCTTTGGATAGATTGAAGATGAATCCTGTAGGTTTTCGAAATTGTTTTAGGGTTAGATCTGATTTTTGGAGCGTTAGAGTCTATTGTGCTTTTGGAATTAGGGAGTGATGGTATTTTGATGTAAACGATGGATTTGTAGGTTACAATATGGTGGTGTTATGGAGAATTGTGAGTTTCATTCATAGTTTTAGCGTTAGGAAACGAATAAAGTGCATTTGTGCGAGGATATATGTTCTGTGCGTTACTTGATATTTCTGGAGTTAAAAATGTCCATTTTTTGCTTTCAGTTACACTGTGTTATTGGGTTATTCTCATCCTGTGTGATAATCAGACAAAGTAAAGGGTATTGGTTTGGATGGTTTATTGAGATTTTTGTGACTATTTTGAAGATGGCTATGAAGCCATTTCTTTTTCGCAAGAATTGACATTTTGAGATAATCTGGTTGAATGAATGTTTGCATGAATTTAGGTAAAAGTTGGCTTCATTGAGATGGCATGCGGCACTGTTAGAAATAGGAGAGATTTTAACAGATATATGCATCAATGAAGTGTATGTTGTGTGGGGACATGTATTAAAACTTTATATGATAGTTCCCAAGTCTGACCTTGGCTATATTATTACTTTTCAGTTAGATTTTCTCATTTGTATATATATCCTATGTTATAATTGAACACGTTTATTCATGAAGGAAATTAGAGTGTTGCTTTTGATGATTTATTGCATTAGGCACTTGGTGTTTAGATGGTTAAGGAATCATTAACCTTTTGCAAGTCTTGATTAATGGGTGCTTGTATGTGTTTTAGGTGAAAATTGGCTTCATTGAGATGGAATGTTACACTGTTGAAGATTGGAGAGGGTGTTAATAGATTGATACATTATTACCTATGGCGTCAGCGGGGCTAGGACATGGAGGAGCTGGGAGTTCAAGATCTGCTAATGGCTTCAAGGTCTCATCTAGTTCGGTGGACTGGCTGGGAAGGGAGATACTGGAAATGAGACTTAGGGACAGGACAGATCCTGATGATGATAGGGTTAGTTCTGAGCTTATGCAACTGTTAAGTGATTCATCCAAAAAATAAAATCATACACTGAACAGATGCACCCTTTGTTATGCAGGATAGTGAACCTGATATTGTTGATGGTGTGGGTGCTGAAACAGGTCATGTCATAAGGACTACCATAGGAGGCCGAAATGGTCAGACCAAACAGGTCTGTGGAGTCCATTTAAGTGATTATATATGCTCTTGCTGAGATTCTTGATAATGGTAAATGATTTACTCATGTTGACAGGTTGTTAGTTACATAGCAGAACATGTTGTTGGGACTGGTTCATTTGGAGTTGTTTTCCAAGTAAGCTCCTTGAAATACTTTAAAGTTTTTGATTTGCACTATGTGGGATTGTTATTCACCTTATGCTGTTGTTACTCATTACATGTTATATTGTTGAATGATTTTAAAAATTTTATTCAGGCAAAGTGCAGAGAGACTGGAGAAATAGTTGCTATCAAGAAAGTTCTTCAGGATAAGCGCTACAAGAATAGGGAGTTGCAGATTATGCAAATGTTGGATCATCCCAATATCGTGGCTCTAAAGCATTCATTCTTTGCAAAAACTGAGAAGGAAGAGCTGTACCTTAATCTGGTCTTGGAATATGTTCCTGAAACTGTTAATCGCATTGCACGTCAATACAGCAGGATGAACCAAAGAATGCCATTGATATATGTCAAACTTTATACGTATCAGGTGTGGACAGAGCTGCTTGACATTATGTTAATTTTATTTTCTCTAACTTCTTCTGGTCATCATTAGTGCAAATACCTAAACATATATTTATTGTTTAGAATGTTCAACTATGCTGATTAAGAGGAGCGAGCATTCATAATAAAGTTAGTTAATTTGAAGTTTAGTTGGTGAGTTACATAAACATAAAACCATGCCCATTTAGGTAGAGTTTACAGTTTTTTTCTCTAATGTTCCAACTCTAGGTTTTGACCCCATTTAAAATTTTAAACTTGTATCAGCATGCATGACACAGCTCTCAACTTGTTTACTAGATAAACTCCCAACTTCAGATTTCATCCAATTTTAGTGTGCTCGGCATGATATCATTTGAAAGCTATATTTGGGATTTGATTTTATTTACAGATTGACTGCTTTCATATTTATAGCAATGTGAAATAGGAGTTAAACAACTACAATATTTTAGCTTACTCATTATTGGAAATTAGAGTTCTATCATTATTGGTTATGTTTCAAATTTGAGAAGACATTGGTGCCGATTGTAGGAGACACGAAGATATATTTGCAGTTTGAAGAGGACTAATCTCATTGAATATTAACTGGAATACTTGTTTGAAGCAAATAATGCATTCAAATATATACTTATTTTTTTAGAATCTTACACCTGTTTTGAAGATTCCTATACAATATGGATTTCTTATTTTATTATAATCTCATTCTTAATTAATTGTCATGTGTGTAGATATGCCGAGCACTTGCCTACATACATAATTGTATTGGAATTTGTCACCGAGACATCAAGCCTCAAAATCTACTTGTAAGTATTATCCAAGTTCAACTTCTTGTTTTCTATGCATTTTTTTACTATTCAATCTCTCAGTTTCACTCCCTCCAAAAAATCACATCCAACACCGATTTGCCATACAAAACATCACATCCAACAAGGTATTTCACCTCAAAAACATCAAAATTCAAAACACACACACACACAAGTGAAAAGGCTCTAAGTGCAGTTTTTGTCTGGGGTTTTACTACAGTCAAGTGGTGTTTGTATAGAAAGTAGGAATAAAACATGCATGAAATCATGTCACAGAGTCTGTGAAGTGATATGGAATATGACAATTTCTCTCAGAGAAAACCTCGCTTGACTTGTCACGAAATAATTCTGTTGCTGTAATGTGTATAATTAATCCTGATACATTTATTTAATTATTTCCGTGGCTAGGCAAGTAAGGGAAGTCTGTTAAATAAACAGTGACAATTTTGAGCATTAGTGCATTATGACTTAAGAATCAGCTTTTATAACAATTATATGGAGAAAAGGCCAGGATAGTTTTGATGTTTCACAGTTTCCTAACATTCATGTAGAATTGATGTTTAGAGATGATGCAGTGAATCAAATACCAATATATCATAATTACAACATTCCGGTGATTTATACTTGTATGTTTTATGATTGTAAAGAAGGTCCATTTGATGACATTGTATTGATGTATAACTGTGTAAGGAGACATGTGACTGAAATGATTTGTTACTTGTTAGGTTTCTTTACCCTTTTTGCTTCATTTAATTTTAACAAGCTTAGTTGTCCGGGTTACTTGCAGGTGAATCCACACACGCATCAGCTGAAACTTTGTGATTTTGGAAGTGCAAAAGTCTTGGTAAGTCCTTGCACAATATGGGCCCATTTTCAATGATATCCTGTGGCTCATGTCTATCGCGCCCTCAGGTGAAAGGTGAACCCAATGTGTCATATATTTGTTCGAGATATTACCGTGCTCCGGAACTCATATTTGGTGCCACCGAATATACAACTGCAATTGATATATGGTCAACTGGATGTGTAATGGCCGAATTACTTCTTGGACAGGTAGTCCAATACCTTGATGATTATTCGCATTCCCTTTACTTTTTTCTTTTTTGCAATTATGTGTCCATGACATGTCTCCCTCAAATTGTTGTACAGCCCTTGTTTCCTGGAGAGAGCGGTGTGGATCAACTTGTTGAAATAATAAAGGTGATCAGAGGCACCACCATTTATGCATTTTTTACCTCAGATTTGATGATCGGCATGGTGTAAAACTGCACTAAGTTACTATATCTACCTTCCCAAAAAATATTCCTGGGAGTGAAAATTTCTTTATGCAAACATGTAAAGATTTTGGGACACAAATATAAAGCTTTCATTGGTTTAAGTTTCCTGCAGCCGACATCAACCTTAGTTGTGTGGTGATTAAATTATATTACAGGTTCTGGGAACTCCTACCAGAGAGGAAATCAAATGCATGAACCCAAACTACACTGAGTTCAAGTTTCCACAGATCAAACCCCACCCTTGGCACAAGGTATGCTACCATAGCATTCTTTCTTTGGCAGTATGATTTGTTTGTTTGTTTTCCATTCTGAAAACTCTACACCTTTTTCTGATTGTGGCCAAAATGTTTATTCTTTTAAGTTGGATGATTCTGTAGTTGTCAACATAATTCATGAAATTTGCTTCATGTAGACCGTCCCATTTTGTTCTTTGTATATGTCAATAAAAGTTAACTGCTACATGTTATTTCAGCTGGATTTTGAATCGAATGCCATTATGATCCTTTTAATGAAAATTATCCAAATATTAATGCTGGGATTTGGTTATGATATCACATGACCACCAGTTTATACTGTATCATGATTTTCATCTCAAAATTCGTCTCACATTTAGATGCATAATTTACTTTTACTAACCAATTTTGTCTTTTCAGGTCTTCCAGAAGCGTCTACCCCCAGAAGCAGTGGACTTGGTGTGTCGGTTTTTCCAGTATTCTCCAAATCTAAGATGCACTGCTGTGAGTACAACTTCAATCCTCATACCATCCAAACTTCCATCTTCAAAGTACTAGCGACTTAATTCACCTGTCTGTTTTTGGTATTACAGTTGGAAGCTTGTATTCACCCGTTCTTCGATGAATTGAGGGATCCCAACACCCGACTTCCAAATGGCCGTCCACTTCCTCCACTCTTTAATTTTAAACCTCAAGGTATAAATTACTACATTGCAGCTACGCTATTCTTTGGGTTAATAATCCCTAACTAATTCCTTGCTTGTGCCACTTCTGTCCCTTATTGACCCCTTCAAATTTTTGCACTTCCCCTGTTAGATTTTCGGACCACTGAAACAATGTAGAACATATTTTAAAGTCGATTTTAGTTGTCATTTGTCTATAATTCTAGTTGGGGAATTACAGGAAATGATTACTGTGTAATGCATTTACAATGATTGCCTCAATTTTTAGTTCTGGACTACAATTGATTAATTTTAGGGACCAAAAGAAGTCGGTAATCCTTACACTTTAGAGGCCAATTGTGAGCATTAAGCATCAATCTAACAGCATAACCTAGTGAATACCTTTTTATATCATTTATTATGTTTTTTCCATGTCACAGAGCTTTCCGGGATACCTCCAGAAACTGTCAACCGCCTCATACCCGAGCATGCTAGGAGGCAGAACCTCTTCATGGCTTTCCACTCCTAAAAGCCACTATGCATATCATCACACAACAGGTCTGGTTTGTCTATTATCTGGGGTTAAAAAAAAAAGACAAAAAACAAAAACTGTTGTCGTAGCATCCTTAAGAGTATCATGCCGTATATGCTTGTGCACCCATCCACTCCGGGACTGTATGTAGAGAAGAGTGTACGCATTACATGATAAAACCATATGGTCTTGGGAACGGACTAGCTCTCTTTGCAAGTGCGTGTATTTATGAGTGAGTTCTTTTGATTGATACCAAGAGAGACTAGACGGGGAGAGTTGATGTTTGTTGTTGAAGATGAACCGAGAAAAATGATTTAAGAAAAAAAAAAGTCTTGGTATAGTTCAGTTCAATTTTGCCCGTATATGTCTTGTGTATGTAATGTAAGTAAGTTTTCGATGCATTGCCACATAATGACATAACACAAGCTTCTTATCCTTTTGGACAATACAATGCTTGAGATGTATGTATATTGACACTTTTGCTGCTTACTTCTGGATCCTTTAAACTATGTGTGTCTAATTTAATTTGGTCGATTTCAAATATGAAAAATGTGGTCGGAGGAGGGAGTTGTAAGATATCTTGTCAATTGAGAATGCGGCAGCTTGGTTTAGGGGGAGCGACCCGATGTAGGTTTGGTTTTACATTTCAACTCTGACAGCTATTCCCGAGTCGAACCGAATAGAATTTTAAGTGCTTGTGAGCAATTACTTGTATTGTATGTCTCGGTTATTTGGTTGAGAGGGTTTGTGATTGTGACATCAAAGTCTTGTTTGTGAGCCTTTCTCTGTGAGTGTTTTTGTATGAGTTGAGTGTCGAGCAGAGCTTATAAAAACTGACCCGACACGAAATAATTGGGTTTAGATTAAGGATTTCAACCCGATTATATATACGGGTTGATATGAATTCGACACAATAATAAACGGGTCAAGTTAGGGTTGATTTAGTTTAAAATAATCAATCGGGCATGAATCGATCCATTGCCAACTGTAGTGTTGAGTGGGCTTGTGAAGAAGGTTAAGTTTTAATTCCATTCCCAATTAGTGAAGTGATCATCGTATATAACTTGTTCTCCTGCCTCGCCGATCAGATAGATAATAGCACCATTCGAAGCTTCCTCAAGTTTTCCGGTGGGATAAATATAATCAACAATACCGTTGAGGTTAGAGTCGGCGACAATCTGACACGACAATTCTCCGTACACTAATAGATTTTTTATTTGACTTTTGAGTACAATAATGTCTATTTTATTCTTAAAATAAAAATAAAAATAATATGAAAAATAAAAAGTAATATATTTTGATATTTAATTAATAGTTATGTTTTTAAAAAATAAATTAAAAATTTTGATGTGAACATATTAATATGATAAAATAAAAATTTTATTATTTTATTGGAAAATATAAGTGTGAATGTAATATCTATTTGATTAAAAGTATAATCAAATTTTTAATAAAATATATTTAATATGAATGATATTTAAGAGAGAAAGAAATTTTATATAAATAAATGTATACTTATCAAAATTATGTTTAAATATTCATGATTAATATACCATAACAATATACTTAATAATAATAATAATACCATTAATGATAATTATAATACTTAATAATAATAATACTATTAATGATAATTATAATACTAATTAATGATATTAAAAATGAATTAGTATTATTTCTAAAATTTTGGAAATTTTTAATAAATTTAAAACTAATGTAATATTCTAATCAAAATATATAATTAATGTTGATTATATTCATAAAAAATAAATTTTTAATTTTTAAACTTTTATTAATTTTATAACTAATTTTAAAAAAATTATTTTAAACATGCAGATTAATTATAATTATATTTGTAATTAACACATATCTTTTTAAATAATAAAATTATATTAAACATAATTAAATTTATTATGAGTAAAATTAATTCTGAACGTTTATGATTGGAAGTAACCATATATTAAAGACGTCAATTACGATCAATAACATCGGCATTAATGACGAATTTAATGACAACCCTCATTTGAATGTCTATAAAAGACTATATCTTCACCCTAATTCAATCACACATCAACTTTTCATCATTTCATTCTCTCAATTTTCTTCATTTTTTCGGTAATATTTTTTCGACGAGTTTCTGATTAATATTTAAATAACATTTTTATTTTCCTTCGCCACCCAATATAGTTTTTTTTTTCCGTGCATTTTAATAATCGGAGTTCCAAAATATTGTGACGCCACCTAATCTAAAGATGATGCGTCGTATTAATGTATAATATACTATTTTATTATTTTATTTTATTTTTATTTTGTACTGTGTATAAATAATTTCATATAATTTTGTGTTTACAGATATTTTTGTATTATTTATTTTTAGGTAATTCATATATTAGTTTATATTTAATAATAAAATTAAAATTAAAAATGGATTTATTTTTATTTGCAATATTAATTATATTTTTGTGTTATGCAGATTGCCTTTACACGACAAGATCAGTTTCTTATCACACTTTAATCTCTTCTTTTGTTCTGTAATTCTCTTATTTTTTCATAAAATATTTTTTCTGTGAGTTTTTCCACAGTTTTTTTGAAAACGTTTCTCTTTTTTTCGCCACCAAATACAATTTTTTTTTTCCTTCATTTTAGTTAGTTCGAAAATATTGAAATTGTATCTAATCGAAAAATGATACAATAGTTTAAAGTATAATTTATTTATAATATTTTATTTTGTTATTGTTTTATACTTTGTATAAATAATTTAATAGTATAACTTTTCTTTTTTCTTTTTTTTCTTTTGTATATTATAGATATTTTTCTATTATTTATTCTTTAAATAATTTATATATTAATTTCTATTTAATAATAACATAACAATAAAACTGATTTATTTTTATTTATAATATATGTATTATATTATTCCTATTTTTTCATTTAAATTAAAAATTTTCATTTATTTTAAATAAAAATATAAATATTGATGATTTAATTGAGTTCTTATAATTTTATTCAAATATATTTGTGTATATATAAATTTTCAATAAATCTATACAATTTTATTTTATTTTTCTTTATTTTTGATATTTTATTAAAATAAATATATAATAAATATCCATAATTAATATACCATAACTAACATATTTAACAAACTATAATTAACATAATCAATAAATATTTTATAAATATAAAAGTTGATAAAATTATTAATAATATGATACTATGATGTATATATATAATACTTATCTATTAAATTTAAAATTAAATAATAAATTTAAATTTAAAAAATAAATTTGCTATTATACATATGCATATATTAATTACATAACTATTGATTACATAAATTCTAATTTTTAATTTTTAAAATAAAATAATAAATGTGTTCTTTTAATAAAAATTTAACAAAAACATAAAAAAATATAAAAATATTTGATAAACAAAAAAATAAAATATAAAAATTATGAGTTTTATATTATTATTAAAATATTAAATATTATAATAAATAATAGTACTAATATATGCTTATATTTCGAATTTTAAATTAATTTGAATTTTTATTATATCAAATCATTCATTTTCATAATAAAATATCTATTTTTTTTAGTAAATATATCATCTACTTTACAAATGTACTTATCATTTACAATATATTACACAAATATCATTATATCACACAATACTAATAAATTATTTTAATACTACGTTCCAATATGATACTAATATTTTAAAAACTATTTACAAAAAGCAAACAACTGATACCTAGGAAGAGAGTATAAAACTCATAAAAAAAAAAAATAAAAAAATAATAATTAATTTTAATAATTCTTATTATTATTTTATTTATTTTTAAGTTGAGATATCGGAAGTTTTGCTCTCCCTAAAAATTAGCGAATAATCGGACCCGGTCCACCCCAGCAAATAGAACATAATATAACTCTCACCCTATTTACGATTTCTTTCGAGCGATTCTGTACAGAATCCATGGCGTCCATTTTCTCACAGGGCTTCGCCGCTAAATGCACCGGCGCTGCCGTGGAGTGCTCCGCCACTCATAATCGCCTTTCTACTTTATCTCTTCAGGTAAACAATTTCAGTAACTGCTGTTTCCCTAGCGGCCAACTCAATCGGAGCGCTCTGAGCATCGGGCGCGGCAGCTCGTCTCGAGTTCGCCGGAGTTCTCGCCGTCTTTCGGACGTATTTGGGGATGGAGGAGTTTATTCTCGATCAGATTTTCCTGTTTTCAAATGCTTTGCTTCAAATAACGGGGCGTCCTCTGCTTCTGGTGAAGAATTTGATCTCAGCTTTTGTACACTTCATTTCATTGTGTTTGTTTGCTTAAAAATATACAAGAAATTAGGTTTTCTTGTGCTATCATAGCTTACGTTAACTGTGTAATTTGTTGTATGCATTCTAATTTCATACATATTACCTGAATTTGCTGCTTTTGTCTCACTGTATTTACAATTTAATGGTGCAATGAATTTGCTGAACATCTGTTCATAACATTTTTTTTTAATCTCTGCTCTTTGTAATTGGCTTGTAGTTGTAGAGGAAAGAGTATCTGTATTGGTAATCGGAGGAGGTGGGAGGGAGCATGCCCTTTGTTATGCCCTACGAAGAGCTCCTTCTACTGATGCTGTGTTTTGTGCCCCTGGGAACGCCGGGATTTGCAACTCCGGCGATGCAACTTGTGTCGGTTACCTCGATGTATCAGAGAGTTCAACTGTGATTGATTTTTGCCTTGAGTGGGAAATTGGATTGGTTGTGATTGGACCGGAGGCTCCTCTTGTTGCCGGCCTTGCCAATGATCTTGTCAAAGCCGGGATTCCTACTTTCGGCCCGTCTTCAGAAGCAGCTGCCCTAGAAGGATCAAAGGATTTTATGAAACGTTTGTGTGACAAATACAATATTCCAACAGCTAAGGTGCAACAATTCTTTGTTTTAGTTACCATGCTCGAGTCTTGGTACTGCTTTTGTCATTTCACTTATTTGTATTTGTACTTGATTTTGCAGTATCGAACATTTTCAGATCCTTTGGATGCAAAGGCATATATAAAGGAGCAAGGCGCGCCTATCGTTGTCAAAGCAGATGGCTTGGCTGCCGGGAAAGGAGTTGTCGTAGCTATGACAACAGAGGAGGCGTATGAAGCAGTTGAATCAATGCTTGTGGATAATGCTTTTGGGTCTGCTGGTTGTCGTGTTGTGATCGAGGAGTATTTGGAAGGGGAGGAGGCGTCATTTTTTGCTTTAGTCGATGGGGAAAATGCCATAGCTCTAGAATCTGCTCAGGACCATAAACGAGTTGGCGATGGTGATACAGGACCTAATACGGGTGGAATGGGGGCATATTCTCCGGCCCCTGTCTTGACAAAGGAACTCCAATCTGTTGTTATGAAGTCCATAATTCTCCCGACTGTGAAAGGAATGGCTGCTGAAGGCTGCAAATTTGTTGGCGTCTTGTACGCGGGACTTATGATCGAGAAGAAGTCTGGATTACCGAAATTGATTGAGTACAATGTGCGATTTGGCGATCCAGAGTGCCAGGTTGGTTCATACTCTTATTCTGAAATTCTGCAAATTAAGTTATAATCCTAAGAACAAAGATATTCCATGATGCTAGAAGACAAAGCTATCTTTAATTATCAAGAAATCGAACATAGTAATTAAGATCTTTGCAAGTCATGTTTACATCAAATTAAGTTAAAGTCCGAAGAACAAAGATCTTCCATGATGGTAGAAGATTACATTATCTTTAATTATCAAGAAATCGAACATCCTAATTAACATCTTTGCAAGTTATGTTTACATCATAGTCTCTTAAATTCTGCAAATTAAGTTGAAGTCCGAAGAACAAAGATCTTCCGTGATGCTAGAAAATAACATTGTCATCAATTATCAAGAAATCGAGCATCCTAATTACATCTTTGCAAGTTATGTTTACATCATATTCTCGTACAGGTACTCATGGTTCGATTGAAATCTGACCTGGCCCAAGTGCTACTCGCCGCTTGCAGAGGACAACTAAACGGCGTAACTCTAGATTGGTACCACGGATCAGCCATGGTTGTGGTGATGGCCAGTAAGGGCTACCCGGGAAGGTACAAGAAAGGGACGGTCATTCGCAACATCGACGAAGCAGAGGTAGTGGCACCAAGTGTTAAAATATTCCACGCCGGCACGGATCTCGACGGCGACGGGAACTACATTGCGAGCGGCGGGCGTGTTCTTGGGATCACTGCCATAGGTAAGGATCTTGAAGAGGCACGGGATGCTGCCTACCAAGCTGTTGAGGAAATCAACTGGCCCGAGGGATTTTACCGGCAGGATATTGGGTGGAGAGCACTGCTGCCGCCTCAGAGAGAAGTGGAAGTGGTGATGGAAGGTTGAGATGCAATGTATGATTGATATATAGATACATACATTGTCACAACTTTGTATTATCGACATGGTTTTTTATGACAATCTGTGTTTCCATTCAGGACAAAATGGTCGGGCAGCGGCAGCTATACATCCAGATCCGGTTTTCGGGTAACAATAGCCCAGAGTTTTAAATGAGCTACGGGCAGAAGGGGACATCTTGTTTGTTGGGACAGCAGCTCAGTTTAGAATTTGGTAAGAACTCGACCTTCTTCATTTTGGCAATTTTCCGATTGTGTTTTTTGCAATAATAAAAGTTAGTTTAGAGAGGGAGATAGAGATGGCTGTTTCTTTTTTGGGAGAGAGGACGGGTTACAGGAAAGACATTGCAACGCACAATTTGGATATATTTCTTATTTCTTATTATTATTATTTTAATTATTTTTTAATAACGTGAAAATTTGCTGTCGCTACTACTTCTTGATCTCAAGTCAATTTGGACCTGAATATGTGAGTGAATATGAAGATAGCGAAGTGTTGCTAGAAATTAAGGTTAGAAATGCTATAATAAAGTAAAAGCTCGAAATTAATTCATAAACTTGAAGGAAATTACTCAAATAAAAAGAGATAATGAATGAAAAAATATGGAAAAATAAAGAAAAATAAATAAAAGTAACAAAAATATGCAAAATTTTTGGGATGAATTATGATGCCTTGTTAAAATTATGGAGTAAATTATGATGCCTAAAATTATGGAGAAGAATCCCATAATTTAGCCAATAAACTCACTATCATTTTACATAGTTCTTTCCTTCAATTTTATTGACTTGATAGATATCATTTTTAGACTACATTACAAGCATGTGCTTGGCCAACTCCAACGAATGAACGGGTGTCAAACAATTCGAAATTGAATAATAATTAAATAAATGGAATAAGTGTTAATTGAATGTGAGGAAAGTACTCTTGAAGAAGATGATGAGCGGTCTTTTAGTACATTTCAAAAGGAGAAATCAACCCAAATGCAAAGAGAGAACATCTTCCACTGTCGTTGCAAAATCGAAGGCAAGATTTGCAGCATGATAATTGATAACGGAAGCTGCACCAATGTGGTTAGTGAGACATTGGTCAAAAAGTTGAACCTTGTCACCAAGCCCTATCTGCGACCGGACATTTTTGAAAACCTATCGACAACAACCATGATAGAGTCCTTACCTCCTTTTGTACGAGGTAGCCCAAAAATAAAGTCCATACTCAAATCTACCCAAGGTGTGTCAACGAAACGAAGGCGAGAAGGGAAGGCCCGGATCACCACATGGGATGAGCTCAAAAAGGCTTTGAGGAAACGATTCGTACCATCCTGGTATAGGAGGGAGCTGCACGAACGAGTTCAACAAATGTCTCAAGGTAATAGAAGTGTAGATGAGTATTACAAAGAGCTTGAGACAGCCATGGTGCGAGCTGATATTGTGGAGGATCCTGAAGCAACCATGGCTCGATTCATGAGTGGAATCAACCGAGATTTGAGGGATACTCTAGACCTACACCCGTATGTTGACTTGTCGGAATTGCTCCAACGTGCGATTTTATTGGAGAAACAACGCAAGCGAAAGGGGCGAGCGGATTCTATCTTGCCTTCGATTTTGCAACGACAGTGGAAGATGTTCTCTCTTTGCATTTGGATTGGTTCCTCCTTTTGAAATGTACTAAGAGACCGCAGACTTACCACCGTGATTTTGGAGTATTCATCATCTTCTTCAACAGTACTTTCCTCACATTCAACAATTTGCTCACCATCTACATCTCCTTCATCGTCGGTGACGACTTCACCCGCATCCGTCAAGATCATGACCTTCTTGTTCGGGCACTCAGAGGCATAGTGCCATTTCCCTTGACACCGAAAACAGGTAATTTCACGGTTTCGGGAATTCTTGCCATGGACATATTCCTTTTGTGGGTTTCGAGTTGTGCCAACATGCGCAACACTTTTTCCCTTGTCAACATTAGAAAATTTATTGACGTTAGTACTGGAGATACCTCGGGGCTCCAGGATAGTTTGGATAGACCGGGGTGGTGGTCGATTGAAAGAATCCGCTCGCCCCTTTCGCTTGAGAACCGAAATGTGGCTTGCATTTTATTTTACTTTTCATACGGTGTAATTTTACATTACACCATAGCTTACACGTAATCAACCTAAATTTTTTTACTACTGTATTGTTGTTTTTTAGATTTTATCATACAATACTTTTTAATTATTAGTTTTTACTTCAAAAACTTTTATCGGAAACAAAATTATAAACCTTTCTTGTAAGGGTGTGTTTGTTGGAAGTTTGGATTTTGAGTAGGATTTAAATTGGAAAATAAAAAATAGGATGAAAAATCCACTGTTTCCCCGAACAAACACACCCTAAGAGTAACTTAAAAAATGCCCTATATTGAAAGAAAAAAAAAAAAAAAAACAAAACAAAGGCCCTGTATTGTTACGGAACAATCAAATGAATGAAGTGGATTAGCCGCCGGCCAACCCAGATGACCAGATCATCTCCGATCATCCGGACATAGCAGCCAAGACAGGACAGTTTCGTCGTAACGTCTTCTTCTTTCGCGGTTTCGTCGGAGGCTTGGTAGGATCACACATTCATTTCGAATTATTTTCCGTTATCAATTTCAATGTCGGCTGCCATGGATATTTAGAATTTAAGCTGTTTGGTTCTGTAATTGATTGTATTGATCTGAGTGATACCAGTGAAGTTTTAGGGTTCAATGACCCGAAGGGTTATATTCTATTCCATTTGACAACCAGGAGCTTAATTTTTACTGGTTCTGTACTATCTGTTAGGGTGGGTTTACCTTCTGATTCTTTGGTATAGATTCCAATATTAGTTGATAATGTGGTTTCTCCAACTTTTGTATGGCCAATTATTTCAATTTTATTTCTTATTATCTACACAACTTTCATATCATTTGCACACTGGTAGTTCTTGGTGAGTTTTCCTCAAACTTGAGCTGTAAATGATGCTATGGAACTAGGTAGTCATTATTCTAATGGTTAATGTCATGGTCCAAAATTACTGGCAATCTGTGCAAAATCAGGTGTTTATGTCATATTATTGTTATATGCTTTATCTTTATTTGTTCATTGTGGAATCATGCAATCGCAGAAGGAAGGAATTTTCATTTTTTCATTTCTGAATGTCTGTTGCTTTCAGAAGGCTGAATATTAGATGGCAACTTCATCTGCTAATTACTGGGCTCGGCTCTTTGAAATTTCATCAAAATGGCGTAGTGTCAGCTCGACTTTGAGAATAAGTCGTCAGGTCTCTCCTCTGCAAGCTTGCACGAGAGACTCAGTTTCAAGTTGCATTTAGAGGCTAAGGTAATCTGTTTATATTTGTTTCTATTTACATGGAGAATGCCTAAGTTGTTTTTACCATTGGCTCCAAGTTATTGCTCCACTTTATGTTTGAATTATCTATGCCCGGAAAATTTTCACTCTTGCTCCACTAAAGAAATCTGGTAATTGGATTTGTGTGTTGTGGTTTCAGCCCGTGTTTTCTCTATTCATCTAAATTTTCTTCTTTGTTTGTTTTCCCCTCTAAAAAATTATCACATCATATCTTTGTTTTATGTTTAATATAGTACATTAAAAATTATTTTTTGTTCAAAACATCACATTAAACATCTATTTATATCATATCAAATAATAATTTCATCTCAAAATTTTAATATTCCCAAAACACACCAAAAGTGTTTCTTTTTGGTTTGAATGGGTTTGAAGGTTTGTGCTATTGATATAATAAATAATGTTTGTTTCTAAGAGAATATATATATATTTATTTGGGGAACATGAGGTCTAAATAACGAAAAACTGGATAAAAACTCAAAAGAAACACACCCTTCGAGCTGACAAAGGTGTTTTCATTATGATTGCATAAGTTTTATCTAGGCATGAAATCTCTTTTTTGTCGAAACCTGCCAAAGGTGATTACTTCACTCTCTTTAAACACGATGCGTGGCTTCTGTTGAAAATGTTCCTCTATTGTAGTTTGGTTACTCGAGTAGAATTAAAAGTCTCAGGAGTTTGGTGTTTCTTGGCATCTGCACACTGGCATTTTATCTCGCATGTTATGCCAGACAAAAGGTAGATGTTACCGCTTGAAAATGGTAGTGGAGACATTTGAGTGTCTGGTATAGTAAATGAAGGTGCTTGTAGTCCCTCAATTTTTCTTGATGATTCATTGAGCTACATCTAAGCTCCATATTCTAAGAAGTTCTATATATATCTTTTCTTCAAGTTAAAGTGTTATCATCATAATTGCATACACTTTTATATCAGATTCGAAGTTTTGCTTGTGACCAAGCCTTTGAAAATATTCATTCTCTTTTAAAAATTATGGTGCGTTCTTTTAGAGTTTGGTATTGTGATTTAATTTTGGATTTTAGTTTGAATAGTAGTTTGGATTAGAGTTGTTAAACGAGTCGAGAGAACTTAAGTATATATTGTTTGAGCTCGACTCGAGCTTGTTAGCTGTACAGATTTGGCTCGAATTTGATTCGGATCGAATTTTATACATATTCCATATATTTTTTAATATATTAATTAAATATATTTAATTATATTTATAATTTATTGTAATAAAATATTCAAATTTTAACAATGAATATAAACTTTGATATAACAAGTTATATATATTATATTAATATATAAAATAATAAAAATATATCATCACTAAAAAATTAATCAAGCAAACTGCTCATTTGTAGATATAATAATTTTTAAGTTCGAGCTCGGCTCATTTATCACTTTAAACGAGCAGAGTCGAGTTAATATCGAGCCGAGTCAAATTTGGCTCGCGAGCTATTCAATTCATTTAATAGTTTTAGTTTGGATGTAATATTTAATGAGAAATTGCGAGAATTACATAGTAAAAACATTAAAACTAAACTCCAAAAGAACCGAGCCTATATGCGGCTTCTATTTACAACATTCCTGTATTATAGTTTTGTCAATTCCTTGACAGGCTATTGACATGTTGGTGCAAAATTTGTGGATTTATTGGGTTCCTGTTCATCTAACACATTAATACAGGTTAATCCCCTGTTGGATAGTATCAAATGAGACGACAAAGGCTCGGCGGTAGAAATAGCTCAGAATGTTAACAGGGGGGCTCTTTTGAGAACCATTTCCTCCCGAAAGGCAACATTCTATAGCAGGTCCCGATCAGCTTTGTGGACATCTTTGCGACATCTTTCTTGATTGTGATCGTGATTCTGTAAGTATTAAACCTTCTTTCGCAGGATCAAAGGTCGATGTAACTTTCTCATACTTGAACGTAGAATAACTAATGTCCTAAACAACCCGCAGGTATCATAAATTTCTCATCATTAAAAATCGGAGCTTCTTATCCTGGTAAAAGGTACCAAGGCTATGCTGAATTATTTCTTACTGTTAGGTCAGTGAAAGTGAGCTTGCATCGACAACTCTGTATTCGCTGGAATCGACATTTTCCAAACGAAAGGAGGAATTGATGGAAAGCAGAGATGCGAACAAAACGGTTATTGCTTGATGAAAAGTTACTTTGCTCGAAAATTAGGTTGTGAGTTATATACTACTACTATTCTGCAAGTAGTGCAGTTTCCTTTGGCATTGCCATAGATGAAGATCAATTTCGAAATGTATCTGAAATGTTGATTAATTATATACAGGGAAGAGGCGGATGAGCTGTGCCGGACGGTAGAGGAGGGGGAAAGATGAGTCGAAGACGGCCTCGGAGATGGCTGACGTGGCGTATATAGGGATAGAGAAATTTACCGAATATATCGAAATACCGATTTATCGCATCGTATTGTGCCGAAAATACCGAAAATTTTGGTATATCGATAATTTTGGTATGGTATGGATATCGTACTAAAGTTGGTATGAATTTTCGAAAAGTTTGGTATTTCGGTATGATACCGTACCGATATTATTTTTATTAAATAATTTAATTATTAATATAATATTAATTATTAATTTTTTAAAAATCATAACAAAAAATATGTTAACTATTGAAAATTTATTGATTTTTTGGTACTACTTTTATGGTGGAGAATGATGATATTTATTTATTTATTTAATTATTTTAAAATTTAAAAAATTATAATTTTCGGTATAAGCGGTATATACCGGTATTGTACCGAAATTAAAATTTTCGGTATACACGATACATACCGGAACCGTAGATTGAAACTTTCGATACGGTATCCGTACGTATTTTTGCCATACCAAAAAATTTGGTATGATATCGATATCGATCGATATTTTCGGTACGGTACGGTATGCTGTCCTTGAGCGTGTCATGCCATGGTTTTATTGGGTCGGAAAGGGGTGAGAGTTGAAGATGCTCTTGAAATTCTAAGGCAGAGGTTTTCACAATCAGGGATTGAAGAAAAGAACAGCCTTTGGCAAGTAAATCAAGGGTAATAATAATAATTTTGAATTAGAATAGTAAAAATGTTTATTTTTAAATAGCTTTTTGATGCGATTAATAATAGGTTAAATGAAAATAATTTTTAATATAATATAAAAATTAAAAAAATATGAATTTGATTTTTTTTTTATTTTTTTTTAAATAAGTATTGAAAAAGTAAAATTCTTCAAAGTCTCCAACCAAACGTGCCTGCATCATGCATCAGTGTATTGAATTTTAATTTTCAACCCAAAATGTTAAATTTGAATACAAAACGAATTTTTTTATTTAGGTCAGTTTAATTTTATTTCAGATTATTAGATAATTTGAATGAACCCAACACGTAACACATTAAATACGAAAAAGACTTGAATTTTTTTTTAAAAAAAAATTATTAAAATAATAAAAATTGCATACATTAAAATATATATTAGTTAACAAAAAGAATTTACCAGATAAAAAATGCAGACGATGAAGAAAATGACAATGGACAATGGATATCGAAATAGTTCAAATATTTTATTTATAAGATTTAAATTAGATTTCTATTATGTAGATTATTATGTTGTTGTTATTTGATGTATATATGATTTAGATTAGATTCTATTATTTGGTTTAATGATGGTTACTCCCTCCGTCCCATCTACCATGTCCACATTGCCGTTTTTGTTCGTCTCACATCTCATGTCACTTTTCGTTTTAAAAAAAAAAATTATTATATACTTTAGTCTTATTTTAATTTTTTTTAATTTTAATTAAACTAATCAGTTATTTTAGCCTTAATCTATAATTATTTATATTATAGAATAATTATTTTAACTAATACAGTTTTAATTATCTAGTTTTGATTATCTACTGATTATACTTAATTCTCGTGTCTACAGAAACCAAAGACATCAAATGGGGGACGGATGGAGTATTATTTAAGTCCATTATAGGCCTCGCAGATGTGTAAATTCAAACGAAAATGGATAATATATATTATAACAAATTTTTAACTAACAATATAACACTATATAATCTTGTTTCACTTTTTTTTTTTTTTTTTTAAAAAAAGCAGCTACTTATTATTGTAAAATTAGGTTTAAATGAAGCTGGATTTGAATTTTAGAATATCCAATTATTTGATTTTTATATTTTAAATTATCAAGTCAATCATTAGTTGGAATTCCTATTTTCAAGTTAGGGTTAAATATTAACATCTATAGGTCTACAATCATGTATGTATATGACTTTGGCTTTGGATCACATGTACTATGTTTAATCGTACGATTTTATTTTTGATTTTACTATTTTAATTTTATTTTACCTTCAAAAATATCAAATCAAACACCCAATTTTTATTTATTTTATTACACTAAAATTTAATTTTACTTTCAAAATACATATTTATATAAAATCAAATAACTATATCAATTCAAAAGCTTACTATTTAAAATTAAAATTCAAAATCAAAACCTATCGAGTAAACACACCCTAATAATTATAAAGAAACAAAAAAAAAAAAAAAAAAAAAAAAGACAAAAAAGACAGAGACACAAAAAGAAGAGCCATCATACATAGGTTGTGTTTTCATATTTGTCTACATCAAAATAAACAGATAATACCCACCCCAGATAGGACCCATCCAAAAAATCTTCACCATAATATTATATATATATATATATATATATATATATATTATGAATTGAAAATTATAAATTCAGTCGTGTACTACTTGTGATTTGGTTCTATATGTATATCGTTTGTTTGTTTTTTTCATCCTAAACATTGCCAGAAATTGCTCTTTCTGTCCTTTGAAGAGCCCAAAAGCACAATACATATAAATAAATAAAATATATATATATATATATATATGGCTCATTTTATCTTCTAGAAGACAAAAAGAATGAATATATTTTTTAAGGTATAGGATTAAAATACAGCTGAAAACATGCATAACAAAAGCAATAATTGAATATAAATAAACAAATAAATTAAATATATCTTTAAATATATAATAAACAAGAGCTAAAATATTTTACATAATTTTATTATACACTCATGACTTTATAGTACTATAATTTTTTATACTATATGATTGTTCGTCTCCTAAAAACTAATAAATGAATGGTGATAAATTAATTAATTATTTATTTGATTAAAATATACTATTTAAGTTTTTTTTTTTTATTTATATAAAATTTACATAATTAAATTTATATTTACAACCACAACATCAAATTAGACAAAGAAGATATTTTATACCTAAGTATCCCATGTTGATAGCCAATATTCAACATATTGATTATAAATATCAATCCACATACTTTAACTGATTGTTAATTTAAAGAGTAACTTTTACTTTCCCAAAATTTATATAACTGATTTTGCCTCACTCGTCCTCATACATTCACCGTCTAAGCACAAAAATATATGAATCTCAATTAATCCCTCGAAAAACAACCAAGACATAGAAGAAATTTCAAATATTTGCTAAACAACTTGATTATTTTCATAATTTCTCAAGATTCGAATTTCGTTTGCATCTGTTAAAAATCTTGATAATATATATTAGGGATTGTTTTTGTATCAAAACATATAAATTACTCTTATTTAAATTAAATTAGCATCCAATTTAGTAAAATTTAGCATTTACACGCGTATAGAAAAGATTTCATACTCTTAATACATAACCCGACACAAAATTAAGCACTATCTAAAATGTGGGACAACATTTTAATATTCAATAGGCAATATATTGTTTGACATTTTTCAGCAATTTAATATACACATAATTCATTGCTTGCATATGCACATAATAGGAGTTTGTAGTCAGAACAGATAAAAATCTGACATTCATTGTTGTATTAAAATATGTGTGCATGAGAAAACATTTCATAGTATATTATGCAGTCTTATAAACAAAATTTTATTATTCAATAGACAATGATGCTTACAATTCTATTGTGAACATGCAAACACTTGTTGTTAAGTTTATGCATTCATTGTATAAAAATACTCAAATTATTATTAATTAAAATAAATCAACATTTTATTTCATTGATTTCAGCATTTAAGTGCGGATAGGAAGCATTTTATATTATATTATTCAGCACAACGTCAATTGTCGACACAGGTTTTCCCACTACTATTCCGATCACCATCACCACCCTTCTTCCACCATCGCCGCCATCTTATGAACGACAAGTTGCCACCCATCATTGCGTCGCTGAACATTAACGTTCAGCCATCCACCACGAGTGATTTTTTACCCATCAACCAGACCCACATACTCTCTCGAAAAATGAAGGTCGCTGTCAGGGTGGCGGCAACGGCGTCAACGACGACAGTGGTAGAGACAACAACAATGGCGTGAACAACAATAACAAGACTGAAAATAATTACCCTAGGAAATATTTAAATTAGATAAAATAAATTAGACAAAAATACAATCTCACCTCTATACAATCAATTTTTTTAAAAAAAAGTACAATCAATTAATGAATGTTTTTTCTCATCACTCATTCCAAGATAACTATGACATGAACCCCCAATACATTCTCATTCATTCATGCACAAATCAATAATGAATGAAACCCTATATATATATATCCCCACATTATCCACATCCACAAACAGCTGAATTCCATGATTCTTTCTTTTACTTGACTAATTTGTGGATGTCAGAGATGTGTTCAAGATAACTATGACATGAAGCAATCAATATATATATATATATATATACCTATCACCCACCAAGACAACACAATGAAGGCTTAGTTGGGCTGTATATACCTATCACCCACCAAGACAACACAATGAAAGCAACACCTACTAATCATCTCAACATCATCTGTACATATATATATATCTACACAAATATTTGCATTGTTTTTCCCTCATTTAGGATAATTAAGAATTACTAAGACAACAAGATAAGTAACCATCTTGCAAGAAAAGAAAATTCATGCATGTCAGCAAGACTACCTTAAAGAGGGTATATATATACATACATCCATCTATTTTCCGGTATATATCCATCTATCTATCTATCTATCTATCTATCTATCGCCGTATCCTTCACTGATCCTTGCATAAAAAGCATATGGCTCGCGTATTAACATGAAAGGAGAGAAAAGTAAAGACATATAATATGCATACGCTGGCTGGCTTCGAGTTAGCAATAATTATTTGTTCCTTTCTCGGCGCATTCTTGCCCCCCATGTCAGATTATTGTCATCATCCGGGGTCTCCTTTTGCATGCTCCTTTTCTTTAGCCCGGACAGTTGGCTTTGCCAGCGGCTTTTCCATTCACTCTTGTTTGCCATTTGCAGCTCCTAATGCAAAAACATCCAATCCATTCATAACACTTTATCAATTATGCCAAAAGAAAATTCACAAGGCAAGAGTATGTTATTATTCGATAAAACAGGAAAATTAGAAACTCTGCAGAGGTGTTTTGTCGTGGGAGGAACAACAGGGGTTGCTCGTATTAGTGAGCACATACACAAAAGATAATAGTATGTCTAATTGAAAATAAATGCAAGACTAACTAAGCTTTTAATTTTCAAAAACATGGATGTAGCCCTCCCCATCTATTCAATTAGAGCACACAGTATCCAATCAAACTTTAAGATTCTTGACTTCAGAACCATAAGGAATGGTCACTTCTTGTAATTAAGTCTCGAATTAAGACACATTTAAGAACATTTGAAAATTTGAAGGTGCTCACTAACACAAACACCTGGCTATTTGGCTTGAATAACATTCTAGATGAGATGTAGAAACCATACAACCATATAAAACAACACAGCAGCCAAAAGATTGCAGAAACATCAGCAGTTTGAATTTATTATTCACTTCGACCATTTGCTACCCCTTTAGCATTTGCAACACTCGGGAAAGATTAATTGGATTTTCCAGGATATAATCGTATATACTTAGCAATTCATCACATACCCAAAACAAGATCCAGCTTGACAACAGAATCAGCCTATAGAACAGCAACTAAATCTCAAATTACCAATTAAAAAGTTCATATGAAATCACAACCATGATGTGAACATTCATTGCACATATATACACGTTCATAAACCTGAACAGGATCATTAGGGATATAAAACAATCAAGCAAAAAGTACTAATTCCATCATGACTGAATAACTTCTAGAAATCAGAACCGAAAATATTTGAAACCACCACAAAAAGAGAACCAGTAGCTTTTTCTCATTGTAAGCAGTGAAAATTATGTTCACCGCTAATTTTCAACCCCTTCCACCACACCCATACTAGAGAAAGCAAAAAAAAAAAAAAAAAACAAAAAACAGATGGAACCAATACGCTGTCATCTTTCACACAACCGCATAGTGGAATCCAGAATGGCAAAAATTAATTAATTAATATTTTTTTAATCTAACGAATGGTAGGTAATCGAACCTCATCGAATTTGCCCCTTCTTCGAGAGGTAAACGCGAGGTGAACACCCTTGGCCATGTCGCGATCGTACAGTTCCCTCCTCTTCGGATCCGACAGCGTCTCGTAGGCCTCCTGAACCCGAATAAACCTCCTGGTATGCTCCTCCACTCGATCCGGCAGAGACACGTCCGGATGGTACTTCCTGGCGAGCTGCTTATACGCTTGTTTGATCTCCAACAACGTACCGGTTTCCGGTACGCCGAGAAGCTCGTAGAAGGTCCTCGCGGCCGGCTCCTCGACGGTCTCGATTAGCGACGCCCGCGCGGCGCCGCGGGGACCGATCTGGAACGATACGAATTGAGGCGGCCGCGCTACGGAAGTGCGAGTGGAGGAACCGAAGAAGGGAAATGGAAGAGATTCGCCGGTCCGATGAAGAGGCTGCGCTACGGCGGCGTAACTGCTGCACATTTCTGGTCCGGTTGGGGCGAGGATCCACGCTTTGCGTGCTGCTCTGCTTTATCTATCTATATGTATATATATATATATACACCATACACTATATACGTATGTGAATGTCATTATGATTGATGTATACCCTTACAAAACCATTCATAATAAAGTTTTTTTCTTTTTTCTTTTAAGCATTATTTAGGGTGTGTTTGTTCGGGGAATTTTGAGTTAGAATTTAAATATAAAAATTTTGAATTTGAATAGTTGTATGATGGGATATAAATAGGTGTTGATGTGATATTTTGAATGTAAAATTGATTTTTAAGTATAATATAAAAAATAAAAAATATGTGTTTAATTTGATTTTTTGAGAAAAAAAAAATTAAATAAACAGTGTAAATCAAATTCAATCCTCCAAACAGACAAAGTACTGATCTCTCCTTTCCGATAAAGTGTAAATATTATCATAAATACACCATTTCTCCTCTTAGAAAAAATGTCTAGGTTACTGTAATATATGTATTTAGGTAACATATAGTTAATAAAAATATATAATTATATTTAAAATAAATAAAGTGAGATCTTCTAAAAAAAAATAATAAAGAATAAATTATGTGAGATCAATTGAAATATAAAAAACAACACTTTACTTGGAATAGAAAAAGTATAAAATGTTTAGAAAATTATAATTAATAAATAATTTTAAAGTATATTAGAAAATTACCGTAGTATTATATAAATAGTTATAAATTAAAATAATATAAATTTTACTAAAATTAATAAAATTATAAAATATAAAATTTTAAATGTAGTTAAAATACTCATTCCTTTCCAAATTAATAAAAATTTTGATATTTTTATCTTTTAACTTTAGTATTTATAATAATATATTTGTAATTTAAGTAATAATTGAAAGTATTTTAGTATTAGTATTGATTACTTTTTTTAAAAAAATAAAAAATAAATAATTTGAAATAAAACGAACAAAAATAATAAAAAAATATTTTAAATTGAAACGAAACAAGTATATGACTATTTTTTTAAAAAGATATTAAACATTTTATATAAAACGAAAGATATACAATAATTTATAAATATATACTCCATTTATTCTCAACAACAATCAATCTTTGGGTTTGGTTTTTAATACAAAATTAAAGTAATGTATTAATAATAATAAAAATAAAATATAATAGTATCATTTTATTTTATTAGTGGCATTATTGATAATTTTAATAAAAGCTATGTATAATATTAATATTATTTTATATAAAAATTTATTATCTAAACAATGATATTTATATTGCATGAATTTTTTTATTGTCATATAAATTTTTCAATATTTAAATATATATTCTAATATTTTTTAGTTTTATATATTAAATTTATTTTTAAAATAACAATATTATTAATTATATAATAAATAATAAAATAATATCATGATTTATTATTATTAATTAATTAAATTTTATTATTTTAAATATTGCTTCATTAATAAAAATATTTAATTGAATCGAAACGGAAGAAATACATACGAATTAAATAATAATATCTTTATTTCTAACCCAAAAATAAATGGTTAGTTTGTTTGGGAGGTTTAGATTTTGAATTGGAATTTGAATAATAAAAGTTTTAAATTTGAACCGTTGTATGATGTGATATAAACAGTGTTGATGTGATGTTTTGAATGTAAAATTGATTTTTAGTATAATATAAAAAATAAAAAATAGGTGTTTGATTTGATATTTTTAAGAAAAAAATTAAATGAATAATGTAAATACAATCCAATACGCCAAACAAACGCACCCTTATCAGTACAGTAAATTTTATTTATTTAAATAAAGTGTTGCAATAAACAAAACTTGGTAGAAAGTCGTCCACACACATTATAATTGATTAAAAAAATATATACTGTTTCCATAACCCGCGGGCCACGGCTGCCGTTTATTTCTTCTAGAAAGGAATTTTTTATATTTTTTTAATTAAAAAAAAAAGAAATAAGTGGATATATTAATTAATTTAAAATATATTATTGTATTGTCGTAATCATATAGGATTTATTATTGTAAGAAAAACTAATTGTGTTCCTTTTGCATATATGATTTTTTTAAGGGTGTGTTTGTTTGGGGATTATATTTTAAATATACTATTTATTTCAATTTTTTTTAAAAAAAATATCTATTTTTTATTTTTATATTATACTGAAAATTAATTTACATTCAAAACATCACATCAACGCCTATTTATATCACATTATATAATTATTCAAATTTAAAATTTTTATTATTCAAATCTCAACTCAAAATTCAAACTCCCAAACATATTTGTGTGAGGATTTGCATTTGAGTATGAGTCGAAATTAAATTATTATTTAATATAATATTAATAGATATTTTGAATATTAAATTAATTTTAAATATAATATATAAAAATATTTTAAATATTTTTTAATAAAAGCCTATAAATTTCCAACATCATTAGCCTTCAGGTTTTTGTTGTTAATTTATTAGAAATAGAAAAAGTGTTAGGCTATTTTCAATTTATAATTTTATTTTGTAAGGTTAAAGAATATTCTTTTATATTCTATTTTATATAACTTTTTAAATTTATAAATAACACTCAATATTTTACTATTATTATACATTTAGCTTATAATAATATTGTTTATTAACATTTTAAACATTAAGTATTTTTTACAAGATGATTTTTTTTTTATTTGTCCATTTCATAACAGATAATATTTTTATTTTTAATAAATTTATCTGTTTAAAAATACTTTACAGATATAAAATAATTTAATTAAATTTTAATTTTTTTTATACATAGAATTTACTTAAAATTTCTTTATTTTTATTTTTTCAATAAACCTATGCTATTATCTATATAAAACTCTTCATTTTTATAAAAATAGTTTTTGTTATTTAAAGATAAATAAATATATTTTTATTTATTTATATTATATAAAATTTTATTATCAATAAAAATAATATTCATATTATATATATTTTATCGACATATAATATTGAAAATATTTAAACACATATTATAAATTTCTTTTAATTATATTAAGTCATATTTTTAGAATTAGCGTGTAATATTAAATTATATACTAATTTAATTTTTTTTTATAAATAATACTTGTAATTTTTTATATATAATATATTACTTGAATCAAATCAATTTAAAAAATAGCATATACAATAAAAAAATACTAATAATTTATAAAAAATAAGAATAACAAAACATATAATTAAAAAATACATATATGTGTTTCTTTAGGTTTTATTTTGAATTTTGATTTTAAGTAGTTGTTGGATTTAATATAAATATAAATTAATATTATGTAAAATTATTTTGAGTATAGTATAAAAAATAAAAAATTAATATTTGATTTAATATTATTGAGGAAAAAATTGTGAATAGTAAAAATTAAATAAAATTAGCCAAATAAACACATCCTATAAGTTTTTTAGAAAATAAAACAAAAACTATATATACTTCATTTCTTCTTTAAATTTACTTTATTTTTTTGGTATATCAATATTTATGTACTTCGATTTGCACATAGTTTTAAAAATATTAGTATTATATTGGGATATAAAATGAAAATGACTAAAATAATCTTATTAGTATGTGTGATATAAAGGTAATGACATTTACGTAATACTCCCTCCGTCCCATGTAATATGGGTGTATTACCGTAGACACGGAAATATAGGTAAAGTATAATAAGTAAGTAATTAAGAAATGTATTAGTAAAAATAATTATTATTTAGTAAAAATAATTATAAATTAAGATTAAGATAACTAAATAGTTTAATTAAGATTTTAAAAAAATTAAATTTTAAATTTTAAAATATGATTAAAGTGTATAATTAATTTTTTAAAAAAGAAAAGGACAAATTATATGGGACGAATGAAAATAGAAAATAGGGACAAATTATGTGGGACGAATGAAAATAGAAAATAGGGACAAATTATGTGGGACGAATGGAGTATATTGTAAGTTGTAAGGATATTTATAATATTACGTAGATAGTACAGTTACTAAAAAATGAAATGAATATTTTCTTATGAGATGGACTAAAATGAAAAAATGAATACTTTGTTACGGGACAGATGAAGGATTATATCTTTATCATTATTAATTAAGGTGAGCATTTGGTCAATTCGATTCAAATCAAATTAAACTTTAGATTTCGATTGATTTTAGATTTGTAAAATTTGAAATTAAAATGAAATTAAAATGAAATCAAAATTTTTCCAAAATCGAACTAAGCCAAATATATCTAATTAGTTCGGTTTAAAACCGAATAAACCAAACCTTATTTGGTTTGTTAGGAAATTTTGGTTTGTAATGTTTGGTTTATTAAATATATACTAATATTAAAAAATTATAATAAATATTATTTATTAATATATAATTTTGTAAAGTTGGAATCTTTTGGTTAAATGAAATTAAAATTGAAAATTATAGTCGAACGGAAACCAAAATTTATAAATTTTATTTTTTATCAAAACGAACTAATTAATCGGACAGTCTAACTAAAAATATATATATTTAAAATATTTTTTTTATATTATCACTATATTTATCCATAACTAACATAAAAAAATACTTCATTTATTAAGCAAAAAGACTAAGGGTGTGTTCGGTTGAAAGATTTTGTAAAAATCTTATTATTCATCCCATTTTTTCCCCGCAAAAATATCAAATCAAACATCTATTTTTTATTTTTTATATTATACTAAAAATCAATTTTACATTCAAAACATCACATCAACATCTATTTATATCACATCATACAACTATTCAAATTCAAAATTTTTACTATTCAAATCCCAACTCAAAATCCAAACCCCCAAACAAACACACCCTAAATGCATATACAAAGTTGGTGATCTGATTAGAGGACAAATCATACAACATAACAAGTTTGGAAAAAATAAAAAGTTAGTATTTGATTTGATGTTTTGTGAGAAAAAAATGTATTTGATGTGATGATTTTTGAAAAATGAATAGCATCAAATGAGTGAAAATGTATTGTGTAAACATAACAATAATGATTGGAA